ATATACATACACACTCAGAAGAATGTACTCACACTGCAGCAGTCTGCTGTACTAATACATGTCTAAAATGTCATGGCTACCACCTTGAGTGCTTCTTGTAATTACAGAGGCCAAAGGTAACTTGCATTAATCTTATAATGTCTCAATAAATTTAGGGTTATAATAATTATACAGGATGGCTTGGATAATTGTACTGTTGACTTCTGCTGACCTACAGAGAGGAGCAGGTGATGTTTAAATTTTTTTCTTGTCCTTTTCAATTTCTTATAACTTTTTTTAAACCAATTTTGCATGCTTATATCTGCTAATCTGAGCACCTAATCTGAAGACAACATTATGCAATACAGCAACCATCCTTGAATTCCTATTGTTTTCTTTGGTGAAGTTCTGTATCATTTCTAATTTTAGGGGCCTGCCCCGTAGCTCAGTTCTTTAAGTGGCTGCTTCAACAAAGCAGTCAGGCTCAGGTTGCTTTGGTTCGATCCCCACAACACAAGACAGCCAGTCATGCCTTGAAGGCATTCGGAGCAAAAAAAAAAAAAAAAAAAACACTTCTAATTTTACTTTTACTACATTGTGTTCTTCAATAATAAAAAATTTTATATAAGTTCTTTTCTGGGTCTTTTCTGCTGACTCAGTATATATTTCCAATTTTTACTTATTTATTTTTTCTGTATGGCTGGCTCAGCTTGCCCTGGGGGCAGGGTTGGCACAGCACATGGTGCTGAGGATCAAACCGTGGTCCCTGCATGTTTGCCTGCACTTGCCTAAGCAGGCTCCCTCGACTGCTGAGCTATCTTGCCATCCTCTATTTGCTTTTTTTAGGGGAAGCTTGACTCCAGGATTTAGACTGACCAAGACAATTTAGGTTTCTGACACTGTTTCTCTCAAATGCAAATGGAATATTTCCTAATCACAAACATTTTTATGGCACAGTTGATAAATTGTGTGGATTTTTCAGATTCAAAATACAGAACACACATAATTTATAGCCACCTTTACCCTATTTTTCTCAAACTAGGCTTAATATTTTTATATCCTATTGACCTTCTATAAGTTCTTAAATACACTAAGAGAAAATTTAATGTCAACCTAAAAACATTTGTGAAGATTCATGGATCTCAAACACTCTTGGGAGTACACAGCAAAAAGTTTGAACACCATTTCACCGAAGTTGTTCTGGCCAACATAAGAGCCACTAGTTACACGTGGCTATTTAAATTTAATGAAAACCAAATGGAGCGGGGCCAGGACGATGGTTCAGTGGAATAAGCACTTCCCTGGCAAGTGCAAGGGCCTGAGTTCAATCCCCGGTTCCACCAAAAAAAAAACAAAAACAAAAAAACAAATGGAGTTAAAAATTGTGTCAGTTGTTTTAGTCACAAGGTAAGCACCCATGGTCACCTACAGTTTGTGATTACCATATTAGAGCAGATACAGAACACTTCCATTGCTACATGAAGTTTTACTGGGCAGCAGTGTCCAACAGAACCAAGACACTGCTGCCTCTGCCAGTTGAAGCTATCATACTCTTATTCTTTATACTAAAAGCTCCATTTTTCTTGACTTCTATCAAGCTGTCTCCTTCACAGAATGTACCTCCTTACTCTTAATGTAGTAAGGGTAAGGAGGAATCTGAAGCTCCCCCTAGAGGTCTGAGTATGTGACAGATAATCATTTTTCAAAATAAAGGCAAATGTACAATAAAATATACAAAAATTTTTCCTACAAAGTGAACAATATGGTGACCACCACATTGCACAAGGAATAAAAACTATGAAAGCCTCAACTGGCAGAGGTTGGTGTATAAGATCTTGGTTCTGCAGGACACTGCAGTCCAGTAGAACATTCTCTAGCAATGAAGTGTTCCATATCTGCTCTAATATGGTAATCATAAACTACAGGTGACCACTGGGTATTTCCTGCACGACTAGAATGACTGACACAATTTTAAATTTAATTTAGTTTTAATTAAATTCGAATAGCCATATGGCTACTTAAAAATTTGAAACAAATTAATTAAAATTAAATAAAACTAAGAATTCAGTTTTCAGCAAACTCCACAGTTCAAGGGCATAATAACATGTGCCTGATAGTTATACTGAACTGAGTTAAAGAAAGTTTCTATCATCACATGAAGCTTTATTGAACAGTACTATCTATACATCATACTTTCTAAATCATTTTTCCCTTTATATTTGTCTCAGTGAAGTATCCAGAAAACGTAACTCGACTCTTCCCCAAATGCCAGGAAATAAATTTAGAGTTCTATTCATTCAGTTTCAGCAAGTCCTTGTTAGGATCTTGTACTTCCAAAACTGCAAGCCAAAGTAAGGGTGCACTTAGCAGTCAAACATGGCCCATTCTTCTAAAGCACCTACCAAGCCTTTGTCAGACTTTTTTTTTTTTTTTTTTTTTTTTGGTAGTACTGGGGATTAAACTTGGAATCTCTCCCCAGCTCCCTCTGTCAGATTTTTAAGCCAACAAGCAAACTGGAACTCCCAACCTTTCAAGTAATAATGTGATAGAAAAAATAGAAAGTAAGGAAAAAGGTCTGACTAAATCTTATGAACTAGTTGAGTGGCTTACCACAATTCCCGGGAATGTTTCAGTGATGATGCAGAAGTCTAGAATGCAAACACGAATAGGAAGTCCTCAGTGATGGGCAGTCTATTCAAATACTTATACAAGGACAAAGGTATCTTTTGGCTCCAAGCTAACTCTCCACTATGGATTCTTACAAACCAGAAGCAAGGTTGGAAAGCTAAAATGGAAAACAAATACACTATATTGTGTATATTGTGTGCTCAAGTACAAAATATGTTCAATGATAGTGACAGTTACTGAATGAACCTAACCAGTGTCCTAGAAAATCATCATTTTGTTAGGATGAAGACCTATTTATGTGTATATGATGAGCAACTATCAGCAAAAGCAACGTTTTTGTTTGCTGTGATACCGGAGATTTAACTCAGGGCTTTCACACTGCTATATCCTCTGTCTTCTTGTCTCTCAGTCTCCTTTTATTCTTTGAGACAGGTCTCACCCCACAGAGACCCTGACCTCACTTTGTAGCCCAGGGCCCAGGTTCCCTTCCACCTTGCACAGATCCTGCTGTCACAGCCTCTCTAGAGCTGGAATTACAGCCACTGGCTTATCCTTACTCTTCTGCTGTTTTATTTTTTAGACAGGGTCTTGCTAAGTCACTAAATTGCCCGGGCTACTCTCAAAAGCACAATCCTACTGCTTCAGGCTCCCAGGCTGCTTGCATTAACAGGTGTGCACCTTGTCTGGTAAAGATGAATTTTTTTAGGTGGTACAGTCACCTTGCACAGGTAGTACCTGTCACTTTTGAAAACCTAAAACTAACTCTGTAAGAGGTG